TATATATATATATATATATATATTTCAATTGATTTTTCAATTAAAATCCAAATTTCCAACCGATATCCGTTGGAATTTCGTTGGAATTTTTTTTAAAAATTTTCAAAAAAATTTCCAACCAGCATCCGTTGGAATTTTTTTTTAAAATTTCCGAAAAATTTCCAACCGGCATCCATTGGAATTCCGTTGGAATTGTTTTCTAACAAACATCCGTTGGAACTCCGTTAAAAATTTGCAACCGATTTTTCCAACGTTAATCCGTTGAAAATTTCCAACGGATCCGTTGGAAATACCGTTGGAAATTTCCAACCCAATTTTTCAATTGAATACGTTGAAAATTCCGTTAAAAATTTCCGACGGGTGTTTCCAACGGATACCCGTTGGAAATTTTCAACGGAATTTTAACGGAAATCGTCGTTGAAACGCCGTTGAAAACCGTTGAAAATCCGTTCCAACGGACAAATCCGTTGGAAAATCCGTTGGAATTCGAGGATTTTTTTGTAGTGACTGTATCTACAGTGAAGAAGACCGAGAAATAAAAGCACCAAAATTTGGAACAGTTGCTTGTCGGATTTTCTCGTTTTATCACTCGAAGTAGTATTAGGAAAACAAAGAGATGATGCGAGATACTATGAAATTGATTCATGGACAACATAATTTCAACAGTAAAAAAAGTAAACATTTTTAGAATAGGTTAAAATTTTACTATAAATATTTTTAGAAAAAAGTATACAGTTCACTTATATATATAGTATAAATTTCAACCAATGCGATCAAAAACTCGTGTTACTAAATATCCCACCATATATATACACACACACACATGCAAACGTGTGCATGTGTGCCGACGTTACGTGCTATAAAACTCAGATACGAATTCATATGGAAAAAGTGATTAGCTACTATATTGAGACCAAATCAGTTCACATGAACGATTGAAAAAAATAATTAAATGGCGTAGCTCATGAAATCGCAAAAAAAAAAAAGTTAAAGTTTTTTTTATATAAAAAAAGAAAAAGTTCATATGAAAAGGTTTGTCTAGAAACTTCTTTTTTGAGAAAAAAAAAACTTCGAAAAAGGGATTAGGGTTTGGAGGATACGAATTTAATTAGGCAGACAAAGCAATAAAAAGTCACTTAAACCAACGATCTAACGTCGGTGTTGTCTTGTCTTATTCAACATGGGAACATCCATCTTAGGCTAAGGGAACATACAAAAAACAAATCGCGTCTTGGTTCCCATTGTGAATTTTATACATTAACTTTATGGTTTTTAATTTATACATTTTAAAGTATAATATATATACATATATATATATATATGGTGTGCTATTGTCTGTTCATGATTTAATTATAAAGTTTTCCGTGGTACCTTGAGAATAAAAAAAAATTGTTATTGAATAGTGAAATATTTGTGCAACGCCGGAGCTATATTTATGTGCAATGGAATTTATATACACACAATCAAGTTTAGGAGGAAACGCATAATCCAAATCACATGACTAATTTTCGGTTTCAAAATTAGTATGAGCCTTTGTCCACGACATCCGGTTACCAAAAAAAAAATTATTCATTAAAAACATATAAACTTATGTATACAATATATACATACTCTCACTTGTTATTTCACACATTATTAATAGAAGAACTACTGTACTTGTACCAATTACAAATATTGATAAACAATAATAAAATGTGTCCACAGTAACCAGAAAATTGTAGATCTGTCACTGTATATACGTTAGAGGGTTTAATTTAATCCATGTATAGGTTTTGCTACTTCTTGCATATGCAAAAGGTAAAAATGAAATTTGTTACTGTTATTTTTACTATACCTTGTCGTTTTCAATTATGGAAGCAAGTTGAACGCTTTCTAGCGTTTGATATCGCGTCATTCATAAACTTATTTGCGTAATGATCACTCTATGTAGCCCCTTATACATCTTACCTTTTAAAAATTAAAGTTCAATGATAATGAAACATGGATTTTGCATCTTAGGTAATCCAGAAATATTTATAACAGGGGCAATAATTCTATACATATAATAGAAACGACATTATATCAAAAATACATTTAATTTGCTATTCCTACTTCAAGACCCACCCTTGTGACCATGTGACCAATGTGACCGAAATATAGTATTGTCACATTTTGATTTTATCGATTATAACATTAAATTTATAGTGATCACACTAATTCATTATATTCATATCTTGTATATCTTACTAATCATTTGATTAAAACATTATAAATTTAACGTTATGAACAATAAGATCAATATGTGACCACACTATATTTCGGTTACATTGGTCATATGGTCATAAGGGTGGATCTTGAAGTAGAAATAATAAATTAAAGGTATTTTTTATAATGACCCAATAGAAACAAATTTTTATTTTTTTATGGGACACCTGACAATTTTATTTATAACTTCTTGCAATTTATAAAGAAATCAATATTTTTAGTTAATTAAACGGGCCTACGACCCACCTCATTTAAAGTTCATTAATTTAAAGTAAATCTTTTTCCTTCCCATTGAGATCTACGTCAGTGAAATGTATCTTTTTATAGCCAAATGATTCCTCTCGAAAGAAGATTTAATCTTGTTGAAGTATTAAATTAGTTTCTTAATTTATTTATTTATTTTGGTTAGAAAGTTTCAACGGGGAGAGGCTATATAACTAACTAATGCAATTATGCAAATATAAGATGAATGGAGTACTATTGGTTTACCCTTTCGGCTATTATGATAACCAAAGGACTAGACAGATAAATCTTTTTTGTAATAAAATTTCAATTTCTTTCACACAAAAAAAAATCAATTTCATTTACTCAAATGACTTCAAAACCCGATAAATAAACAAATACAAATCCTATTTTATGAAAATAAAATTGAATGTGTGATTTTTTTTTTGATAATCATATGATATTCCGGACTTTCAACTCAATTACATCCATTCTAAATCAAGATTAATCTTTGTATATGGACTATTTTAGTAAAAAAATTACATCTCTTTCCATAACTTTGACAATTCTCATCCACTGGTCACCAACGGTTGGATTTGAATGTATAATTCTTGGAACCAAATGATTTCACATTGTTTTGTTTCACGAATTTGCTATCAAAAATAAAGGTTCTCGATACTGATTGTTATATTTTTCACGCGTTATTATATTATATGGTACCACTGAAATCGAATTCAGCTGGTTGGATCCATTGATTGATGTGACAATTTTTTTTTCATTTTAAAAGAGCATAATTAGTTCCCCCGAGTCAAAGAGAAAGAATGACTTCCGGTTTAAGCCATGGAAAATCGTATCGTGTTGGGTGAGGAAAAGAGAAATTATGTTGCTGTTTTTATTATTTAACTTTGCCACCAGATATATTCTTAGGCTTTTAAAACGAGTTTTCTGCTATTTTTCCCCAACTAATTTGATATTCTAATAATTGTACTACAATATATATATATATATATAACTGTTCATATATGATTCATAACTTCCTTTTGGAATTTACAATTGCATATGAAATTCGAATTTGTTATGTTAGTTGAATGTATAAAACAGAATTAAATCATAATTATTTAATTATATCAAAATCAAATTTGATCTAACAATCTAGAGTAATTTTTATCAAAATTATTTAGCCTAATTTTAACAAAAAAAACGCCGATATTTAAATGAAAAATTGCAACTTTTTTTGTCGGCAAAATCGGGATTTTGTGATGTTGATTCACATTTTCACAAGGGTTATAAATTTATGAGAGACCTCATGCCGACAAGTAACGAAACTCTCTAGTCATGTTTTTTGCTTTGATATGACAGTCACGTGGGATGCACATGATGTCTGAAAATGTAATATATACTCAGTTTTGGACCACTAATTGCCATGCCTAAGTGTTTTGAGAAATTTAAGTCAATATTCGCAGCTTTTTTTATCTTCTTTTGGGTGCGACATGTAAAACGCAGCCTTCGATGTTATTGCAGATAATAGATTTAATGATTTATTCCTTAAATAAATAAATAAATTCGATGTCATATACAGTTTATCATCGATTCGCAATATGTACGTAAATATTCATAAAGATTTGGAAAATAATATCTAATGATCTCAATCATATCATCTAAAGGATCTTTTACGGGGAAAACAAAAACATAATGATTAAGGTTAATATCCAAAATAATATATCACCCTCCAAACACCATGATTAGATTGGTTATATCCCAAAGTGAATTAAAAAAAAAGAAGCTATTCCAATAACAACAGTTGAATTACGTGTACATGCACATACATGCACCCGTATCCATATTTATAGTATATAATATATATAATTATATGCCCACATGAAACGCACGTGTGATGTTTAATAACTAGCATAGGCACGTGCAAACGTCTTTTTTTTCCCTCAACCCGGTTGAGTCAAACATCTTCTCCTTCCAGGAACTTGGATTTTTTATTATTATTTAACACATATAATTATTTTAGATATAACACACATACATATATATATATATATATATATTAGCTTATATAAGGGTTACCCCTCCGTAAATTTATGGCAAATTTGGAATACTTTTTTCCTGGAAAAAGAAATTGATATTGAAAACAGTTTTATTGCATTTTGTATATATGCAATTGACATAGGGTTATGAGCTTTCCTTCGTATTTTCCCGAGATGTATTTTTCCAAGACATCGTTGCGTGTCAAATTTAAATACGAGAAGACGATAAGGGTATTTAATTTTTCAGATTATTTGTTGTTATTTTGTTTATGTACTATAATCAATGTTATGAAATGAAAACATATTATATATATATGTATATAATATCCTTAAAAACTTATTGTTTCACTTGTTCCCTTAAGTTGTGTTCCATTTTCGCTGAAGATGAAAATTTTGGGGGATGGGAACTTAGAAAAAATGGAAATATTTCTAAAAATTAAATAAATATAAAAGTATGAAAATCTAAATTATATATAAAAAACATGTAGCATAATTCTTGCAAACTTATAATTAAGATGTCAATGATCTCCATATCATTTGTGAGCCCATGGAGTCTGAGTTTGGAAGTGCATTTTCATAATCTCTAATAACTATTTCCACGTACACATATATAACATTTTATGGATTACATCAACACTATCATCAAATATTAACACGTCAGAAATATATATAATTAATATATGTCTTCCAACAATTACCTGACGTGTCAAAATATGATAGCATGCTTGACTTCTTACTCTAACACTCGAACCTCAGGAAATTACCCATATATATATATATATATATATATATATATATAACTAAATCGAACTATAACTACTAAAGCATTTTCAATGCGGGCTGGACTCTCTCTATATGTGATCATAATTATAGAAAAAACATAGCCAGTCACGAGTCATGTCCACAGAGGGTCCCACCACAACATCGATGAGTTGGAGTTGATGTCGTCAAGGAAACCCAGGTCGTGAATGCTCTCATCGTCGCCGCTTTCAAAGGAGCTCTCGAAGGGCATCGTCATCGTAATATCGTGTTCTTGACCTTGAGGTCGGTCCATTTTGCAAATCAGCGCCAACAGGTTTGCTCGTTGGAGCTGCATGCCCACGATCTCGACCTGCGCTTTCGCAAGCTGCGCTTGGAGCTCGCTCACCTGCCTTTGCAGATGGTAAATGGCTCCCGCGCATCCGTACACCGGATCTCTTATCCTGGCCCCGGCTTCGTACACCATACTGTTCACCGCATCGTTCCTCTGTGATTCCGGAAGTTCCTGCAGTTAAATTAACATGTTAGTAAGAATATTTTAAAAAATTATCGCAACAATAACCCAATAGTTCAACGGTGGAATGGAAGAATTTAGCAGTTTGTACTCACATGGCTTTTGACATAGGTAATATCCATTTACCAAAATAACAATAAATTTGATTTTATTGTTGTCATAAAAATATTAGATATTGTGATAATCTTTTAGAATATTTAGATGTCGCATGCAATTAATGTGATAGGATCCAGTTCCTCAAATGATTAATTATCAATCCGTCCTATAGTTGATCGATGTATATACATATATATATATAGGATTACTAGTGACCCATTTCATTATTAATTGTTTCTTTCGATGACGTTTGACCTCAAAAAGAAAATTCTGCAAAGACTTTTTCAAAGTCTGAAAGAGACGTTTTCTTTCCATAACGTTGTAACTAAATTGTAAGCCATGCGTATATATATATAGAGATATTTGTAAGCATGTGTTTATTTTCCAAGGGTTAGATAGATATGTACACTTTACTTTGAACATGAGAGATGCCCGCTTTGTGGGGGTTGTTATTGACATTTTAAAACACGTAGGTCCTGTAAACCTAAATCATTTTTAAACAAAATAACCTTTGACTGCTTACAACTTTACCCCTTTTTTTTCACATTAAGTAGTAACCCTGAATTTTACCATGACGTAAAAACAACATCTACTATGCATTAATTAACATCACACATTTGATCTTTATCCAAAATTCCAAACTTCAACTTTTTATAGCTTAGAAACCTGACAACCCACTAGTATGAGCAACTAACATATATATATATATATATATATGTAAAATACAAAAAAAAAATTCAATCATCGGCTTCTCCGTACAGTATTAGTTTTTGTATAATGTGTGTGTATATATACATAAATATATACACATACACATAAATAGACTAGATGGTAAGTGAAACACAAGTAATGTACCTGCAAGAACTTGATGATATTGCTGGCGCCAAATACGCGGTGGGCGATGGTGAACTTCGTCGGCTCCGTCGGAGGAAAATACGGAGCCAAGACGCACTTCTCGGCGCACCGCCGCCGCAGGATCTTGCAAGCCGCACACGGGCTCATTATTACCACCTGCGGCTGCGGCTGCGTTTGCGTTTGGGTTTGGGTTTGCGGTGAAACGGGCAGAGGAGGAGATGAGGTGGGAGAAGGAGAGGGGATAGCGGTCACGGCGGCAGCGGCTGCGGTTTCGGTGGAATTTTCACCGTTAATCTCCATCTTAAGCATGGCTAATTACTTGATTTCGGTCGAAACAGATGTTTCACTCTGTTTTTGGGGGGTTAATTGATCGGATTGTAAATTCGGGGGTAAAATGAGAAATATGGTGCTTTTTTTTGGGGGGGATGTGAGGTGTTTTGCTGGGAGAGATGAGGAGTGATATATATAGAACGAGAGAGAAACGCTGTGGTATTTGGGGACCACCTGATGTCATAAACCAGACCTATGACGTCATATTTTCGAAATACTTTTCTCCTCCACTATGGTGGCTCATAAAATTCTTCAAATAACATCACATAAAATTCCAGCTTTATAATAAAGCTAATGAAAACTAATGGTTGATTTTCACACCTTATTAGCCGGCGAGCTTGATTCTTATGTAATAATTATTTTCATTAATATACATCACTTACGGTTTTAAAATTTTGCAACTGAATTATAAAAATTAATATTGACTAATACATAATTCCAATTATTAATTTATGTCAAACGATAACTAAATTTGTTACATTACAAATAAGATTTTATATTGTTTACTTTCACCTGTTATAAAATAATACATGTCAAATTACATATATATATAATCTCATAATATGATTAAACTATATGCATATATGATACAATTTTAAAATTTTTAACTTCATCACTAAATTACTAACGAAATACTCATGACATCGTCTCCATTTTTTTCTATACTAGTTATCTTACTTATTCAATATAATTTGATTTACATAATCTTTTTAATTTTCTCTAAATATATAAATCTCTTAATAATTGAACAAAACTAAATTCAGCATTAATTTAATTTTTATATATTGTACAATGTAGTAATATGTATGTATGTATGTATGTATGTATGTATGTATGTATGTATGTATGTATGTATGTATGTATGTATGTATGTATGATTCTTAATTTTGTTTACTATTCGTAATTTACTGGAAATGAAATTAACACAAAAGGCCAAGCGATCCATTAGGTTGCCTAAATTTTCTGTTTTTTCGCTTCACTTAATTATTTTTTGGAGATTTTTTAGCTATCCGCAAGACTTTTTTTAATAAAATGATAATGTCGTTGGAAATTGTAGGAAAAATCCAAACCCTAGACGTTTAGATTAATACTTTTCTTCGTTAAAATCCTTAGAAAATAAAACTAGAGAAGAAAAATGAAAGTCGAAAACTGTATTTAGTCTGTTTTTTGGGAGATTTTAATTAGACTTTTTTATATGGTATATTTAAACAAAAATGAGTATTATTATAGAATTTTCCCAATAAAAAAATGATGGACGTAAAAACAGAACTAAGTTACGAAAAAAAAAATGTCTCATTGATTTTTTAGAAACTTGGAAATTAAAACACAGAACTAGTTGCATGCAAAACAACGTAGTTTTGTTTTTAAATAACGAATCACGATATGACATTTGTTTTAGTTTCAAGGCTCTCTCCAATTTTCTTGGATCCCAGTCATTAAGTCATATCGTTTTTTCCACTGTGGAAAATTAAAAAATATAAATAACTGTAAGAAAAAGACACCAAAAAAAAACTATTTCCGTTTTGTCAACAGATTAAAAAAATAAAAAATAAAATGTTTGTGTGAGTGAGGGTAAATTCCTTGTATATTAAAGAGTTACGACCTTTCCTATAAGCAAATAATGTTTCTTCAGTAATATATGCATTCATGTATATAACATTGACATATACACTGATGTATGTACGTATGTACGTATGTATGTATGTGACTTTGTATACAAGCCGATTGAAAGGCTATTATTTTGATAAGATGGTAAAAATTCGTGCAAAAATTTTAAAAATTAATGTCTGACACAGCGATTGAAATATCATCTACAACAATTACTTAGTTGTAAATTCTGTTAAAATTCAGTTAAAAAAAATCGTTTATATTAGATAGAAAATGGTAGTAATAGAAAATCATAGTGAATATATATATAACAATTTGTATTTTTTTTATGAATTATATATATATCCGTTTAAATTAGGAAAGATTACGAAAACATCCTAAAATTTGTGAGAAATAGCCAATTAATACTTATATCTTACCTTGTGCCTAAAAAATACTTATTTTATCACATTTGATCTTTGATTAGTTAAGTTACGAAATTTTTTTACTTCTATTTTAATTGTTATTATTTTATCTAAATAACTAAGAAAAAAATGAAGTATGCGGCTCCATTAAAGTATATTTATAGTTTAGGAATTAGTTGGTCATTTCTAAAACGTAAATCAGAATTTGGGTATTAATTTGCTTCTTCCAATAAAATTTTGGAAATTCTTCTGCTTTTCTTTTTGGGTCAGGAAATTTATTTCCCTTTAAAATTTTAAATGACTTGCGTACAAGATCTCCGCAAAATCAATAAAGAGGAAAAGCGCGAGGTCCACGTCGCAACTACCTGTCGTCCGGAAAGCAGAGAAACGACACGTAGTCAGTTCGGTCTTAGCCAAGAGCTCCGTTGGGAGCCGTTTTCTTTAATTGGTCTGCTGCCACCTTCAAGACAACGCTATCTTTCTACCCCCAAACCTTCCACTTTGATAATGACTATATTTTTTTTTTCACAAACCGAAATTGTTGATTTTACGATCTAGTATATGTTTCTCGAATAAAAAAAATAGAAACTATATAAATTATTTTTTTTCGCCTTCGATTCACCGGTCGATATAAATTTTTATTTTTCAAAACTAAATGCAAAAGTAAAGTTTATTTAAATGTTTAAGATCGATCAAAATTCATTTAAAAGCCTTGGATTCATTATATAATGAAAATTTTAAAATTATTATTCTTATAATAGAGGAAATTAGTTAGTTAATGGGGGACAGAAATTGGATTAGTTTGGTGGAAATTGGTCAGCTCGTTGGACACATGAAGTGAGGGAAAAAAAAGAAAAGAAGAAATGCTTTCTTTGATTTTGAAGTACTAACGAAAGTCTATTCTTTTATTTAAAAAAAAACGGAAGTCTATTCAGTTGCCATTATTAATTCTAAAAGAAACTTTTTTTCCCTTCATAATAGAATTTATAAAGAAACTTTAATATAAATAATTATAAAAAAATAAAAAGGGTTACATTATTTATAAATGTAGATGTGTAGAGGGAAATTTGCATGCGTTCCATTCTTTTGTCACATGGAGAAGTCGTCTAGAAGACCTCTACATACATACATACATACATACATACATACATACATACATACATACATACATACATACATACATACATATTATTTCCAAAAAAAATACAACCTGTCCATATAATATATTATTGAAATACGATACGCAAGGAGAGAATTAGAGGGTTCTCAATTTGTAATTCTCACCATTTTTATAATATATTCGAGTCCAAGTATACTAATTGTGCTTGGCGTGGACATGCGATCTCCATTCTGTAGTGGGCGTCGGTTCAAATGACTAGAACCGGTTAAGATGGTGTGCAATAATGCAATTGTATATGGTTTCTAATATATATATATAGGGGTCTCGATATAAATCGATGGATAGGGCCTTTCAAAGGATTGATGATATGTCCGTGCCTACGACGTCTAAACATAAAATACATACATAGTATTGAAACATGTTCATATGTATAAATATTTCATACATGTTACGTAAAATCGTTAAACGTGCATATATATATATATATATATATATATATGTTTTACATAGATCATATAGGTCAATATACTATTGACAAGTAGACTAAATGTAAATCGAAGGAGGGGTTTGTCAAGGGTTGAATTTGATCGAATCAATGAGAGACTTGTTCCAATCCGGAAGCACCGAAATTTTCTAACTTGTGGAAAAGGCAGAGTTTAATTTAGACTATAATCTTATATATTTAAAGAAAATAAACAAAGAGGGCATATAGATATAGAACCAATACATTATACATATAAAAGGTGGCAGTAGTTAGACTCGTAATGTAACGCTTATTATTCCCTAATCTCCACTTATCTGCCCCCACTAATCTTTACCAATACCCACATGTTCACATATTATATCAAATGTAAATTCCACACATATATATATATATATAGATATATGTGTGTGTATTTGTGAAACTTTTTTTTTTTTTGTTATTATCAAAAGTTATTTCTCCATCACAAGAGTCTATTCCGCGTGTGGACCTTTGGTATTGTACCTCCAAAAGGAAAACAATTCATAAAAGCATCGATCGATATATAGCCGTCACACACACATGTTATATATATATATATATACACACACACACACGAACACACACACGTGTATGGGCTAGCATGTTGTGTGAAGGCTCTGTCGGATTGATATGCGGCGGTCGCGAGCAAAATTGATCCAAAAACGTTTAATGTTTTACGTAATATCAATATTGTATGATTTCGTTTTTGTTAGATAGAAGTTGTCCATAATATCGTGAAGAACTGTAAACTCATAATTCTGTATTATTTCCATGTAATATTGCTTCACTAACAGATTTCATTTTAAAAAAAAAAAATAACAAAATCAATATAGAAATGTCCATCACCCTCGGATTTGTTTTTCATTCAATTTGATTTTTATAGAATTCGTGAGCGTTTCAGGTTTTTAGTTTATAAAAAATATTTGGAATCATTTTTATAAAAAAAATTAGTTAATCAAATTAAAATCGATATTGAAATAATAAAAAAAAAAATTAAAATTCGGTATAATGTAAAATATGTAGCCCCAATTCTAGTTTGTTTCTAGTGTCTTGAGTACAACGTGGACATATAAATAATCGGAATTTTAGGACATGCTTGTTTGATATGGGTTCCAAAGAGGCTAACACTTGGGTTCGTGAACTTAAAAAAGGCCATTGACACAATGAATAAAACATTCCAAAGGCATTAGTTTTGTTTTCAAGTTCTCATCTTCCAAAATTTAATGATGCAACCTCAAATAAATGACTTGTTTGACCCATTTGACTCTTTTCTATTTGTGTTTTCCTTACATAGCAACTTGTTATTTGGTACACCAAAACATTTGGTTTATTAATCTCTCATTAAGCGTTAGGAATTTAGGATAAGTTTTATATATATATATATGTATGAATGCATGTTTATCAGGAAAAAAAAAGTTAGTATATTTCCTTTTGTAAGATATATTATTGCTGTGAATCTCTTTTAAAGCGAAAAGGAAAGAGACCCACACGGAAATGAAGCGGCAGTAACGTTACAGCCAATTTCCCACAATGAAATCTCCAGTTGTGTGTGAATGGGAATACACGCAGAGTGGGTTAAGTGCTGGTGTCCAATTTCATAATCAAAATGCAAGTCCACGATTGTAAATGTCGAAACATAGTTATCTTTTCAGGAAAATTCAGAATACCTACTATTATATTATCATATATAGTTTAAATTTTCAAAATGCGAATGACTACTACTACTACTACTACTACCGTAACACTTAAATTAGAACAATATTTACAGTATAGTCTTGTTTCGTAATATACATAAATAATTTAAGAGATTTGAACCCATTATTTATATACTATAGATTCAGCCCAACTTCATTAAAAGTAACCGTAGAAACTGTCATATTATATATCTACATAGAGAGAGAGAGAACCATGAGATTATGAACAAGAGTAACCAAATATGTCCATCATCATCATCATCATCATGATGGATACTCGAATCGTGAGCATAAAATGCAGAATTGGGTTCGTACAAATGCGAGAACGAAGAGTATCGTCGACACATTCCAATACATCATTATGAGTATATGTTCCATTTTGACCTGTTATGCCAAACGACCCTTTTCAAGAAATCTTGATGCATCTAGAATCCAACCCTCATCTGTTCATCATCATCATCATCATCATCATCCCCCCCAAAAAAAAACCCCGAGTTTAAACAATCAGAAACCCTAATCCCGCACTGAAATCAGAGAACGAGAGAAACAAATTGGACCGTACACTAACCCGACAACTAGGCTTCCTCCTAGTGAGAGCAAGGCTTATCGCACCATTATCTGGAAAAAAAAAAAAACAGGTCCCAAACGAGTTATACACATATACATACACACAGACACACACACACATATCTATATATATACACATGTGTGCGTAGAGGCAGAAGGAGAGAGGTTATGTTCTACCTCGGCATCGAAGAAGTCCTGAAGAGCGATCATTTGGATGGCGCGGGACTTGAGGCTCTTGATGGCCTCGGCAGTGGCCAATGCCCCGCCCACCGTGGTTATGACCGGAACCTTGTAAGCCAGAGCCATCCGTCTGAGCTGACGCCCGTCTATCTGATCCAGAGCGTCCCCCGAGCTCGTTATCACCATCAGATTGATCTGCCCGTTAGCCACCATGTCTCCCGCATGCGGTCTCCCCTCGTGCATCTTCAGGACCCTCTCCACCGGAATGCCTTGCAGTTCCAGGAAATGAGCCGTGCCCGATGTGGCCACAATCCTGAACCCGAGCTCGAGGAACGATTTTGCAATCTTCTCGAGGTGGGGTTTCGTCAGATCGTTTAGACTGAGGAATACGGTGCCCGACAAGGGTAGCTTCTGCCCCGCGGCAATCTGAGCCATGGCAAACGCACTCGAGAACATGTTGCTGATGCTCATTACTTCTCCCGTGCTTCTCATCTCCGGGCCGAGTATCACATCGCAGCCCTGGAACTTCTCAAACGGGAACACAGCTTCTTTCACGGAGATATGTTTCGGGATAACCTGCAACCCGAATTCAAACATGAACGTCAATAGCCGAGAAAAAACATATTCTTTCATCACAGAGGTATGTTTCTGAATTACCTCTTGCGTAAAGTTCAAGTCTTGGAGTGATTTCCCCGACATCACCAGTGCTGCGTACTTGGCAAGAGGGTGGCCAATGGCTTTCGAGACAAACGGGACGGTCCGAGAAGCTCGGGGATTCGCTTCGAGCAAGAAAACATCCCCAGATGTTGTGATCGCATATTGACAATTCATGAGCCCGCAGACATTCAACTTCTTTGCCAGCTTCGTGGTCCATGACCTAATGGTTTGTAAACAAGAAGATGGGATAGTTTGCGTGGGAAGCATACAGGCGGAATCACCCGAATGAACACCGGCCTGCTCGATATGTTCCATGATCCCACCGATCACGACGTTTCCATAGGAATCAGCAAGGCAGTCGACGTCGATTTCAATGGCATCAGAGAGATACTTATCGATCAAAACGGGTCGTTCAGGATCAACTTCAACGGCATTCTCCAAATACGTTATAAGCTTACCATCATCGTACACAATCTCCATCGCCCGTCCACCCAAAACATAAGAAGGCCGTACAACGACCGGGTAACCTATGTCCTTTGCAATGGCAAGGGCATCGGCCTCGCTCTTTGCAATCCCTCCTTTTGGCTGCTCAATCTTAAGCTCCTTCAGCATTGTGTTAAACTTCTCTCTGTCTTCAGCTGCATCAATGGAGTCCGGTGATGTACCCCATATGCGAACAGGCCCTGCTCCACTCGAGCTCATGGGCATTTGCTCGTCTAAATAATGTTTGATCGGAA